ATGTATTTGTAAATAAACATCACTGAAAATAACATATGGCTGAGCATATAGGATTGTGCTCTAAATACAGATCCATGGATTAGTTTAATTCTAACTCAGATTCATTTGTGAAGCTGATTTTAGTTTAGTTTAGTTTCTCAACTGTGTAATTTTTTTTTTAAAAAAAGCTTGCATTTAGTTTAATGAAAAGAAGGACTAGGGGTGACATGACAGCAGTGTTCTATTCCAAAATTTGAGGGGCTGACACAAAGAAGAGGGGGCCAACTTATTTTCCAAACCACCAGAAGGCAGGACAAGAAGTAATGGATGGAAACTAATCAAGGAGAGAAACAACCTGGAACTAATGGGAAGTTTCCTGACAGTTAGAACAATTAATCAGTGGAATAACTTGCCTCCAGAAGTTTTGAATGCTTCAATACTAGAACTTTTTAAGAAGAGTTTGGACAACCATTTGTCTGAAATGGCATAGGGCTTCCTGCCTGAGCAGGGGGTTGGACTAGAACACCTCCAAGGTCCCTTCCAAATTTGTTATCTATTATTTTTTATGCATACTTTCCCCAATATACTCATTTAATATTTTTCTTTATTACTTACTTCATATATTTTCTCTCATAAATTGTATTTTTTTTTAAATCACTGATCCAGAACACATGTATTTTTACATTCTTTTAGCCAATACATACAATTTACATATAATTTACAGTGTATATACTGGGCCACGCGAGTAGCTGGCTGTTGCACACATTCCACACGTGCACCCAGCTCCACTCACACTGTGAAAGTTGCAGACACTTGCACATGCACATGCATTTACCCCTCTCACAAAATCATCACCTCTTTCTCTCCTCCCCCTGCTCCCAGAAATGTTGGGGAACTCTGGGCTAGAACCTCCCAAGTCGAGAAGGGAGATTCTCCACAGAAGATTGTAGAGAATAAAAGGCTATGATTCTATGTGACTTCTAGATCCAGATGGACAGGCAGCTATTGGCCAATCAACTAAATATCAAGGCAGTAGATAAGGACCAAACAATAGCAGTGATGATAAATGTGGTTGTGCCAAGTGACAGCATCTTCAGAATAAGTATGAGGAACTGGAGTAATTCTAAGGCCTGAAGGAGAAACTAGAGAGGATGCAGAAAACATAGATCAAAGTGGTCGCATCACTGGTAGGAGCACTTGGGGCTGTGGCTCTTAAGCTGGGAGAGTGGCTCCAACAGATCCCAGGAACCACATCAAAGCTCTCTGTCCAGAAGAGTGCAGTGCTAGGGAAAATTAATATCCTGTATACAATACTCTCCAACTCCTAGACCTCTGGTGGAGGACCTGAGATGACATATACCTCCTCCCTATAGGAGTGAGGAAGGAATTTTTAAAATAGAATTGATCCGTTTCTTCTCTTTCCTCAGTTCATTCTTGCTGTTTTTTAAATATATGCATTTTAGTGCTTTGTCTAATAAAAGGATTTATAATCTGAATTAAAAATGCATAATGTATACATATATTAAAATTAGTAATTTAATATGCACTTGGATCTTTGAAAAAAGTTCATTTCATCTTATGAGAGCACAACCCTGATTTGCTATTCATTAAATCACCACTGTCCACTTTGTTAACCTTTTTTATTTTCATTTTTTTTTGCTCTTTAATAAGGTAACCTGAAAAAAAAACAATTTTTGTGGTTAATGAACAAAAAAAGAAATAACAAATGAGCAATTGAGCTAGTTTGGAAGCACTTCTTTCAAATCAGTTTATTCATAGCACTCATAATTATATTCTGATCTGAACATCAGCTAGAAATAGTTCATATTACAATGTCTTAAAATCTAATTTTTTGAGCATCCTTAGTTCTAAAACAGGATCATACATCAACAATATAGGTCAGTGCTGGATAAATATAGCAATTATTTTTAAATAATTATTCTAATATAAAGTGAATTTTTATTTTATTTTACAGTAGATATTAGGAAATGTAAACTGCAAAAGAAATAATTTCCATGCAAAGGAAATAATTTTAATGACTGACTTACTGTTAAGAATATTAAACAGTATATTAAACTCAGTGAGCAAGGTAATTGCAACATCTGAATTCCCTAAAAGGGAGCCAGCCCAAAACTAATCATTCCTTGCTTAGACATTATGGTGTTCTTTCTATTCTCTCTAACTCAACAACTTGTGCATAGAATCACTATATAATTCTTTTCATTGTTTATAACTTCTCGTGCCCATTTTGCCCTAAAGAATATGATGTCTGCTTGATAGTTATATAGTTTAATTACAGACATTTTATTTGCTTCTTTAAAATGTTGATTGTTTTGCATGTCTGAAAATGCTTTGTCCAAGTTTTCAAATAAAAATAAAAACTGTCCTATGTCAAATCAATTTTGCCTAGAGCTAAACGCCATAGTAAAAATGATGCCCACTGGAAGACCATTTTAAAAAAACTCTTCCTCTCCCACAAATTTATTAGCTATTAAATGAAGCTTGATTATATACTTACGGGTGCATCCTCCTTCCTCAAAACCATAAAATCCATGAGCACAATGGTCACATTTCTTTCCTCCAACACCTGGTTGACAGTGGCACTGTCCGGTTTCATCACAGTCAAATGATTTTGATCCAAACGAATTACAATTGCAAGGGAGACATCCTCTTGATGACTGCACACCAAAGGTACCAGACTGTCACAGTAGAGACAAGGATAATCAATTAGCAGAAATAAAAATGAGAGAGAAAAGAGGGAGGAACACACAGATTTGAAAAAAAACTACATAAATGTAGAAAGGAATGATTTTACTTCCCCCCCAGCTTAGACAACCAAAATAAATTAGAATGGATAAACACTGTCATTTTCACATATAACCAAATGATGGTATCACATTAACCACATTCATATTTTGTGTTTTAAAGTTGTACACCTTCAGCCTAAAATACATTTGTAAATGTCAAAATATGAAATTCAAATCAATCCATTTTGAATTTTATGAACTCAAAATGTGTACATGAAGTCTCATTAATATATATTTGTTAAACACCACAATGCAAAAGCATATCTTTTTATTTTTTAAAAAAATAAATATGTTACAATAAAAACATTTCACAAAGATACCTGTATCTTATACAAAATGTTGCCCTTAAGGAATTTGCAATAGCTCCTTGAGTTACCCTTACAAAGCATAAAAACATACACCAGTCCACAGAGTACATCAGACCATTATTCTGCCTTAACTATGGATCTGCTTGGCATCCTGATAATCAGGTAAAGCTTGAATCTGTTTCTTAATAGGAAGCCAGGTTAAAACAATAAACATTCACATTTTATAGATATTTCTTCTTTTCAGTCTACTGGGATGGTTGCTATATTTATCAAGGAGAAGGAAAGCTTCACCGATGCAATTAAGGTTTAATTAAATACTGTATTCTTATCCTCTTATGTTACCCTCTTATGTCTTCTTATGATGCAGAAACAGGCAAAAAAGAAAAAGGAGAGAGAGAGAGAAAAAAACCAAAACAAACCATAACCAAAGTTGATCATTCTCAAGAATAATTCAGAATAATTCAATGAAGCCAGGAATAATCAGCATGCAATTTTAATAAATAGTTGGATAATAAGTCCTCTTTAAAGGCTGAAAATAAGAAAATAAATTCTCCTTTAGAATAAAATTCTTTGCTATAAGATTCTTGTGTGAATTTCTATTCAAATGAACCAATAATCCTACAGGTTCACACACTTATGCCGTAAATAAACAATAAACACACACGAGAGACAGAGAGAGAGAGAGACAGAGAGATAGAGACAGAGAGACAGAGACAGAGAGGGGGGAGAGAGAGAGAGGGAGAGGGGCTTCATTTTCCTCAATAAATCAATGAACAAGTACAATGTTTTTGACTTATTTGTTTAATTGGATTCTCTTTATCTAGGTTTAGGACCTGTGTGGATGACAGATCACATTTTAAATCATATTTATGCAGAACTGTTGAAAATCCATTTTCTTAAATGCCTCTGTATTTGTTAACTAAAACTATGTTTTATCTACTTTGTTCACATGAAGGTAGTAAATAATCTAATAAATTTCATCTTCTGTTTAATACAGGTAGTCCTCGACTTACAACAGTTAATTTAGTGACTTTTCAAAGTTACAATGGCACTGAAAAAAAGTGACATGGTCATTTTTCATACTTACAATTGCTGCAGCACTCCCAAAGTCACATGATCACAATTTTTGCGATCACCTTTTGCAATCTTCTGACAAGCAAAATCAGTGGGGAAGCCAGATTCACAGCCATGTTACTAACTGGAGCTCTTCACTTAACAACTGTGGCAAAGAACGTCCGTAAAATGGGGCAAAATTCACTTAGCAAATGTCTCATTTAGCAACAAAAAATTTGGCCTCAATTGTGTTCATAAGTCAAGGACTACCTATCTTAAGGCTTCCTACATTCAAAACAAGCTCAGTTCCAATGGTGAATTCCAAGAAGTTTTGGAACTACAGTTAGAATAGCAGGTTCTCTTCATCCAACACATATGATACAGTCAGCATCTTTAAAAGTAAGGAGAGGTTCAAACAGAGTTTGATTGCAAAGTGAAACTGCAGGAAGATCTGCCATTCAATATACAAGACTAAGGAATTCCCTTGGGCACCTTTAAACTCTTGGTTTAGTATAAAGTAGCTCAAGGGATTGTGATCCATTGAGAAGAAATTCATTGTTTCTTTCAACACAGATTCTGTTATGCCAGAAATATTGTTATTTCTGGCTTGTAGCTTCCTCTGATTTAGAACAACACTGCAAATGCTTAAGAATATCATGCAGAAAAGCATATAAATTCATCTGGCAGTGAACAACCATGTCCGTTCATGTTACTTGTAGCAAAAGGTCAGCAGAAGCAATGGTTGCCTAAGGGAATCACAAGAATCTGCCTATATCTATGTACTGCAGGGGGGCCAATCAAATCAGAGAGTTCATTTATGGTTCATCAGATTCGCTGTTCCACATCCCTTGAATTCTGCTACAATATTTTAACACGAAAACATGTAAAATTAAATGGAAAGCTGACAAGCTGCAAAACAAAGCACTTGTCTCTATCACATTTTACTTTCAAGAACATCTCACATTTTACAAGAGTCTACAGCAGTGTCTCTCAACTTTATCAACTGTCTGGGAAATTCTGGGAATTGAAGTCCACACATCTTCACATTGCCAAAGCTGAGTAACACTGCTCTAAAGCACTCTTTGGGAAGCAGCTTAACAATTTGAATGGTAATAAAGTGGCAACCACTTCATTACAATGTGTGCAATTTCTCAAAAGGAGGATTCCTTCATTCATAGTTTTTTAAAGAAAAAAATTGAAATTATATTGGATTGCTTTAGAATTTCTTTGAATTTCTGGTGTATTAATGGTATTAATTTTAAGACTAAAATTGGCTGTACTGTATATTAATTTAAAAAGTACTGTTGTGAGGTGTTTGTAAAAGGAATTCTTTAATAATTTAGGTGGAGGCTCTGTTCCCAGAAGGTTATCATTCCATCATCATAATTCTCTCAGCCTTGTTTTGCAAGTTGACAGGACATTGATTTTCTTTTCAGGGTTTTGGATAGTACAACCCAGCACAAAAACATGCCAAAATGCAACACATGCAGAATGTATCACGTTTTATTACCAAAGCAGAAGACTTGAAAGCACCCCTTGGGCACCCACTTGCAGTGGGAGAGCCCCATCTTTGATGGGGTGCTTTCGTTTGTTGAGAGTTCGGTGGCTTCCCTTTCTGGATGTACACCTGCCTGCTCAGTTCACACCGTTTACCAGCAAATCCAGATTTACAAATACATCTCCCTGACACATCACAGCTCAAGGACATGGATCCTACTGGATTGCAGCCACACGGAATGCAGAATTGCTTTTCTGGAGCCCAAAAGTAAGTGGACTTTTGAAGAGGAAGAGGGAAGGAAAGCAAGAAGTGAATATATAGGAAATGTCAGTACAGTAGATATCATGAGAATAAAAGCCAGAAATACCAAAGATTTGTAGAGCTAAATATCAGGGCCAACCATATTACTATTAAAGCATATTTTCTATACTTCAAGCATTGATTTTTAATTATAAAACCAATCAAATGTTGCCGTGAATGATTTTCAATACGATTTGTTTTCATTTACATCACTTACAATAAGAGGCTTCCCTGAAATTTCAACATTTTGGCAGAACTTTTTGGCAAATATTAGTAAGAATTCTGGAAATCATATTTTAAAATTTTATTTTTAAAGTTATGGAATACTGATGATTCCTCTTCATACTTCCTGCTGTTCAATTTTAAACAGCCATACAGGAGATATGGACAAATGTCTAGTAGAAACAAACAATGATATTCCCTAAAACACTCATGCTTTAATTACTCTCTAATTTCATAATTACTCTCTGACTAATTACCTGTTTATTAGCTTCAGGATATACTTGATTGCTTGCTCTAGCTATTTTACAATATTCTATTCTAAATGCTTCAAGGCCAATATCAAGAGCTTTAAGCTTTTACATTTCATGAGAAAAAAATATAAGTACTGTATATCATTAGATCAAGATGCATGTGTTGTAGGCATGTTCACTGATGAGGAGATATCAGTAATTTAATATTAAACACTTATGTGTGAACCTTGTGCTCATCACTGTGTTGTCAGGATTCAGAAAGGCATTGGAGTTATTCCTTATTCTTATTTCCTTATATATTCTCTATTTTTGTATCTGGGAAAAGAAAATTAGATCTACCGATATATTCTATATAATATAAACTTTAAAATCTCCTCAGGAAATATTTCCTAAGATCATCCAATGAAAGGCATGTAAATACATTTGATATATACATAGAGATATATAGTATTTTATATATTGTGTATATCAAAATAGACATCTCATGGCATAGTTCTGCTGAAAGGGCAAATATCTGCTTTTAACACAGGTTATCACAGGTTAATGTTTGGAGAATCCAGGATGCTCACCATTGTTTGTATGATTAGTTACAATACATAGAAAGGCCTTTGCTATAAAGGAAATATACATAAGATTGCACAGTTAGTACTTCCCTCCACCATAGTGCTTTATGAATGAGTGGTATCCCATCTCAGAAAAAAACAGAAAAGATTATTTTTATTGCACCACAGAGAAAAAGATGTCTGTATGTTCAGTTACTTGAATATTTTAAAAACAAGTCAACTCTTATGTCAATATTTTTAATGAAAATTATTCCTTGCCCTTTTGTGAGCCTAAATAAAATAATCATGATATATTTATTTTGTTTTAGATTCTAAAGGAGGATAGATTTTGTGCCAGAAAAATAATCTCATTTATTTAGCAAATAGAAGTGTTTCAGAAGCACAATGAAGACTTTAAGACTGATTTTAAGACTGAAAAGAAAGTCACACAACATAACTTGCCATGTGTGTAAAAGTACCAATAGCATTTTATGTATATAGAAAAGTTCTTCTATTCCATAAAAGATGGGAAATGGAACAATTAAGATTGCATCAGATTCTGGTGTCTTACCTTACACTGATTACACTGACGTCCCAGAACATTGGGTTTGCAATGACATTGTCCAGTCTTAGAGTCACAGACTTTTGAAAATGATCCATTAATATTGCAGCTGCAGGCTTGAGGTAGACAAGAACAGGTTGGAATGAGACGATAATGAACATTCACAGCACACATACGTATAGTACTGTATACATAAAACATTTGCTGGCAATCTTTTGCAAGAGTTTAGTCATCTAACTCCTGTAACATTTTAAATTATCTCACGCTAATGAACAGAAGGTAGAAAAGATCAACTTCTGGAGAAGGGGATGTTCATAAATTACAAATCAATTCCTGCTTTATGATTTACAGCCTGTCATCCAGCTAATCTCCACAGTTCTTATACAAGTAAAAGTTCGTATACAAGTTCTTATACAAGTAAAAGACTCTAGTATACCTAGCAAGGGAATAAAGAGGAAAATTGTATTCTCTCATTTATCATCTTTTAATAGCTGAAGAAGTGGAATTAACCCATAAAGACACAATTCTTCATTTACCGGTAGCTTCCAGGTTATAAAAAAGCCTAACAAATTAAGTCAATAATCTGATCCATACACAGACTAATGACTCCTTTGTGTCAGACCCTATGATGGCCTTATGCCACTTGTAATTTACTCAGTTTAATAAAGCAACCAGCATTTGTGGCAGCCCAACATCTGTTTTTTGTTTTTCCTGAATTAGAATGGAAGAACCGGAACTGTCTAATAATATCAAAGTGCAAATATGTTTTTCAATATCAGCCTTTGTAAGATGTTTGTACCTCAGCTCCCAGAATTCCCCAACCATTATGCATGATGGTTGGGGAATTCTGGAAGTTGAAACATCTTAAAAGTGCTGAAGTTGAAAAACGCTAGTGTAATACCTTTACATTCATGGTGACAAATGACAATTTGTACCTGCCTGACCTATGGATTTCCTCTTCTGTTCAAAAAACTGTAAAATATTATTTAAGTATTAAATGGAGCATATATGACCATTCACTAAAGACCTTTCCACCTTACTTCTGTCCTTTGAGTAAATCTAGTTCCCAGAATAAGGTTCTTCCTTAATCTAGTTCCCAGAATAAGGTTCCCAGAATCTAGTTCCCAGAATAAGGTTCTTCCTTATTAGTTCCAGGTAACATCTCATTCCAAATGTTGCATATGGATATTATAAGGGACAGTGTTTCTTAAAATAAACACCAAATATATTATTCCCTTAAAAAACTGATATTTCAAAATTGGCAAAAAAATTGGCTCTGGAAAGTAGTTTTTTCTACAGATAACATAATCTATCAATCTATCAGGATGTAGAATCAGGATATTGTTTATTTATAGATCATTTTTCTTATTAAATTCAAAGCAATGAAAAATAAAATGTTTATCTATGGTTGGATGTAGTTGAGTTGATATAAATGAGCATATCCGCCATATATACCGATGAGTCATGAATAATTTGAGAATTTTAGATGCTAAAATACATGTCTCAAATTGAGTACGGCTTATCCTGATGGCTTTATCCATGAGTATATGTGGTAATACTTGTTTAAATAACCCATATATTCCATATATATTTGCAAATAAGCCACTGAATTTTTAGCCAAAGTTCCATGAAAAATAGACAACCCATACTTTACCTAAGGATAAAGTCACCAGGCAAAATTAAAACTATTTGTACATATCTGTAAAATAACCCCTTATATATCTGAATCTGTGAAAAATGTTGAGTGTCAGAATTAGAGTTTAGAGTTGTCATTGAGTACTTCAACTGTGACTCAAGAAACATTAATGCACTGAAGGGAATTATAATTCCATCTTGATTTTTCAAATTTGGGACTCTGATGTTGGTATCTTTAACAAGTAAGTCATCAGAATATTAGCAGAGTCAGATGACACCTACACCTGATGACACCTACACCCGAAATATCTTCAGAGCTATACACTAGACAAAGACAATGAAGAACACAACACAGGCCAGTTGTCTATATACTGGGAAACACTGGAATATAAAATAGGTATTTTAATTATGGAACTAGGAATGAGGAATAGGAGTGTTTTTTCAACAGATCTGCAACTTTGCAGAAATGGTCAAGAGTAAATATCAGGGAAGTGGTGGCAAAACAATACAGTAAGAGAGCTCATCTTCAGACAACAGCTGTGGTTGCAACAATGATCAAGGGAAAACTTAACAATGGACAAATGAGACTATCACAGAAACAAATATAGGCAGAGGTGAGTATCTCTAGGGTTTTGTTTTATTTTCGAGGCTTTATTTATTTATTTCCACAATATGTAAAACTTTAAAAGGTAACTGAAAGAAGGAACTGGTTTTATAGAAATCATGTTGGGGAGTATCATACTCATTTTGTCTGATACAGAACTTCCTAACTATTTATTCAGCAAATTGCTCTGAATTTCTTGCTATCTTCTGAGCCCTTTTACAAATTAGCCAAAAATTATAGTTCAGGCAAGGATAAGTGGTACTTTATTTTTTTTCAAATTCAATTTCATCTAGTTTCTTTTTCTTTTTAAATTTAAATTCATTCTACCCTCTTATGCATTAGAATGTGTTTGGTTTTAAGTAATTTTTAAGTGTTTTGTTACATTGTCTGAAGTAAATTCATGCAGTTTCCTGCAAAACCTTTAGCATTAATATTAAATTTTTCACTTTCTGGCAAAACACTTCAAAACACTGAAGTGGTTCCATCCTTTCAAAGATTTGTCACCAATACTTAAGTTTATCCTAAATAATCTAGGATCGCTTCCAAAGAAAGCCTGCTAATCTTTGAAATGAATCAAATATCACTTCAAATACCAGTTTTACACTATTGCAATAATCAGAGAAATTGTTCAAATTATTTTTGTAGCTTTAGTGACTATATGCTTCCAACTGGTTTAGCAATGTTTGTTTTATACTAGGATACTCCAGCTCCTCAACCTCTGGCATACAAATATGTCATAACAATAGAACACTTCATACCTCTCTTCCTCATAAAGATATACTTTAATTGTGATTAATTTTACAGGGGTGATTCATTCCCAACACTTTCTAAAAATGGAGGTAGTCAGTTTCTATAAATGTGCAAATGTACAATGTTTTATCTGTGGTTTTAGTTCCTTTGTCTTATTGCAAGGGGCACTTCCAAAACGGGATTAAAGCATGGTGAAAGGGGGAATAAAGGCTGTGGTCTGCAAGAATAATATACAATTAGATATAATAACTCTTCATGAGAGAAAGAAAGTAAAAAACTCCGAGGTACAGAGGAATAGAAGAGTAAGGGTCATATCTATAAAAAGGAATATTATATGGATGGCATCATGTAAACAAACCAACAGATCATGACCTATTAACAGGCTATTGAGTGTGTGTGTGGGTAACCAACAAGGCAATCTGAATGGCCCTGCTTTGTGTAATATAGATTTATTCTATGTAATGCTATGCAAATAAATGCTCGTACTGTCTGACACACTCATGAGATATGCCTACAGGGAATGAATGCATTTTGACAGGAAAAGCAAGTTTCCAGGACTTACCTTGACATTTCTTTACATCAAGAGCATCTCCAAAATACCCGTCAGCACACTTCTCACAGTACTGGCCTGTTGTACCTGGCTTACATTTAAGACAAGCTCCAGACAAGCTGTCACAACTGCCAGGAATGGAGAAGTCAAGGTTGTCATTACATTGGCAAGGCTGGCACAATCCCCCTGGTTTTGAAGGTTGTCCAAAATAGCCTTCTGCACACCTAGGGTGACAGACAGAGCAGTTCAAGCACTTACTTCGGCCTCTTGGTACAAAGTAATGATAACAGTTTTGTGATCCTTAGGAAGCACTAAAAATAGCTTGATTTGGATACCCTGAAGCATTTTCCAGATCCTCTTTCCTCAATTAAAAACAAACAAATAAACAAAGATAATAATAGCAGGCTATAGTAGCAAAATTACCAGCTGAAATATTTCCATTTATGCTTTGTGTTAGATAATAATGTGGAAGGAGGGAAATAAGAAGGGGCTATGCCATAAGAACTAAAGATGAACAAAATCATAGTCAGAAATACCATCTTTGCACTGAAGTTTATGTGACACCACCTAGGTGCAAACTACAAGGGCACAATACCATAACTTACTTGGAAAACTGCTATTCTCCTTCTCAACATACAATTCCCTGTTTAAGATGGAACCTAATAAACTTTGCAAACTGACAAGGAAGTAGAATATATGCATAATAAATCTGTATCTTTATCCATAATAAAGACTGTTCCTGAATTATACATGTATGCAAATCCAATGCGTTACTCTGAATATGTTTAGGATAGTAGCTAAAATTTTCTTTGGACTCCTATCACAAAATGGGCATATCTGTAATGTTTAGAAGGATAGAGGAGAATGTTAACAACCAGGTCATATGAATCCTGTTCAGTGATCAGTTTCAAAGAAGGTTGATAGGGCAGAAGACAAATGGCTCCAAAAGACTATAATCTCCATGACTCGTAATATATAACAACACACAGTTAGAAAGTCAATCTTATGCTTAGAACCTTAATCTGTTTCTTTTGTTCTTAAATTATATAGAAGCATAGAACAAAGGTTCCCATGTGGCCAGTGCAATATGATTGCTGGAAGCATTTATTTATTTTTATTTTATTTATTTATTTTGTCAAATGCTTACAATATGATAGAAATAAGAATAAACATAAGTTTAAATACAAGAAATAGGAACTAATAATTGGGGACAATAGGACAGGGATGAGAGGCATGACTGTGCGCTTATGTACGCCCCTTACAGACCTCTCAGGAACGGGGTGAGGTCAATAGAGATTAGTTTGAGGGTAAAGGAGTGGGGGTTTGAGCATGTGACAACAGAATCAGGTAGTGAGTTCCAGACATTGACCATTCTGTTGCTGAAATCATACTTCCTGCAATCAAGTTTGGAGTGCTTTACATTAAGTTTACATCTGTTGTGTGCTCTTGTGTTGTTGTGGTTAAAGCTGAAATATTCATTAACCGGTAAGACATTGTAACATATGATTTTATGTACATGCTTAAGTCCAATCGTAGCTGGCATAGTTCAAGGCTGTCTAAGCCTAGAATCTCAAGTCTGGTGGTGGAGGGTATTCTGTTGCGAATAGAGGAGTATGGTACTCATCTGATAAAATATTTCTGAACCCGTTCAATTGTTTTAATTTCTGATATACAGTGCGGATTCCAGTCAGTGGAGCTGTATTCAAGTATTAGTCTAGCAAAGGTTTTGTATGCCCTAGTTTGCAAATCAGTATTACCGGAGGAGAAACTTCATAAGATTAGATTTACAATTCTTAAAGCGTTTTTGGCAATGCTGTTGCAGTGCGCTCTGGCGCTTAGGTCATTCGATGTGAGAACTCCAAGGTCCTTGACAGAGTGAGGGTTGGCAACAAGGTCATAACCACCTAGTTTGTATTTGGTGTATTGATTTTTTTTTTTTACCAATATGTAGGACAGAGCATTTGTTGGTCGAGATTTGTAGTTGCCAACTGTTTGACTATTCAGACACATAATCAAGATTGCTTTGAAGGATGGTACATTGTCGGTGGTGTTGAATAGTTTTAGGTCATCAGTGAAGAGGATGCAGTTGCTTATAAGGTGATCACAAAGGCATTTATATAGAGTGTAAAGAGTGTGGATCCTAGAATGTTCCCTTGGAGACACTGCTGTTAACTGGTGCAGGGTTTGATAAGGCGTTTTCTACTTTTATTATTTGTTGCCTGTTTGACAGGAAGGCAGTAATCCACTTGTGAAGGGATCCAGAAAGTATATTGGAACAATGCAGATTCTTCCAATTAATGCTCATTATTCTCTTTGCTTATCTGGTTTTGTTAGCATTTCAAACCCTCTAATCTATGTTGTCTAACTAAAGACATACTTTACCAACCACTATTTTATTTTCTCCTTTAATCTACTATGGTAACATTCATGAAAAAAAAATTAATGTAGAAAATGAAGTATATGACATTAACAGGAAACATATGGTACTGTTATCAGGATGCTTATGAGGAGAGAAAAACACAGGAATTTAGAAGAGGGTTGTAGATATAGTATTAAAAGATATTGTTTATATTTTTCTAGTTTTTTAGCAGTTATATTAAAAACAATCCTAATCCTAGAATGTACACGGTTCCTCTGACAACTATAAAATCATTCCCTTTCTAAAGTTCATGTTCTGACTTTTAGGTTAAACCACTCAGTATTAATTCACAAAGAATTCGATTAATCTATTCAGAAAGGATTATTTGGGGAAATAATAATTATTCCACATGAATGAAAGGAAATTATTGAGCTGCACATGCTGATTTCTGAAATAACTGAACAGTAGTCATTTCTAGAGAACAGCAAAATCCAACTATGCTTGCTTTTTTTGTGCACCGTAGCTTAAGAAAAGCTATAGAAAATAAACTTAAGCAAGGATTTTTGGATGTGGACCTGTGAGGCATTTTGGCCTAAAAGATGATGCAAGTTGCAACTCAGTTTCTCTCAAGGAAATTCATTGCATTTTTACACACTTTTAGACTCCTTTAGAGGCCTCTTCTAGATTTTGTAAATACTAGAAAAGGCCTCTGAGATTGTTCCTGTGCAGACCAAAAGGAAGCTTGTTTCACTCTTAGAAATGAGAGAGATGTATTGTTTCACAAAGCTGCTTTCAGTCAAAGTGGATTTATTCAAACCCAAGTGGAAAAGGAATATAGAATACAGCGTACAAAATAATAGAGTTGGAAGGGACCTTGGCAGAGATGATATTCAGCAGGTTCTGACCAGCTCTGGAGAACCGATTGCAGAAATTTTGAGTAGTTCTGAGAACCGGCAAATACCACCTCTGACTGGCCCCGCCCCATCTATTCTCTGGCTCCTGAGTCCCAGCTGATCGACTGGGTCTTCTTTTGTTTCCCTTCACAGGAGAACGAAGCTGGAAAGAAGGTTAGTAGTGTGGGGAGGGGATGGAGATTTTACAGTATCCTTCCCCTGCTGTGCCCACCAAGCCACACCCACCAAGCCACTCTCACAGAACTGGTAGTAAAAATTTTTTGAATCCTACCACTGGACCCTGGAGGTCTTTAAGTCCAATCCCCTGCTCAAGTAAGAGACCCCATCCCATTTCAGACTGTCTCTACTTAAAAGCCTCAGTGATCCAGTGATGAAGCATGCACAATTTCCGAGGGCAAGCTGTTCCACTAATTAATTGTTTTCATTGTTAGGAAGTTTCTCCTTAGTTGTAAGGTTGCTTCTCTCCTTAATTAGTTTCCATTCATTGATTCTTGTCTTGCCTTCTAATGCTTTGGAAAATAGGGGATCATCATTTCAAAGTGTAGATATAGACCTACTGCAAAGGATTTTTTTTAATTTTAAAAAGGGCCCACAATAATATTTTGATTGTAATTTACAGCTGGTTTTTGCTTAATGACTGGTCACTTAGTGATCATGTAAGATTTCAATTGATACCCCCAAAGTACCTCCAAATGTACTTATGACCTGGATTTAAAGTTCTGATGTCTGCCCCTCTGTGGTCACATGATTACATTTTGAGCAGTCAGCAACCAGCCTGCATTTACAGCCATTTATAGTATCCCATGGTCATTTGGCTGTGATTTGCAGGTTGTTGGGTTTTTTGCCAGAAATTGGTATTTGTTTTCAGTTTCTATTTTTTAAAAAAAATATTAAAAAAAAACCCATTGTGAACAATAGTTTCACTTAAGAACCATGACATTTGCTTTGACTGCCCAAAAAGAATTTCATAAAATTGGGTTGGTCACTTAACAACAGGCACAATTAACCATCATTATTCTGGATTCAATTATGGTGTTACCTGTACCACAGTCACTTCCATGTTTTCCCCCCACTTTCTGCTAACTTTTCCTGCTTTAGAAATTTCTGAAAGTTTCTTGTTTTTCTCACATTAAAATAAAATCATGTTAGTGGTTTCTGGTTCTACCCTGAAATAAATTCCCATTTGAGAGTTTCTAAATTCAAAAGTCTCAACCTTTGCTGAACATACATTGGCCCATTCATCTCCAGCTCAACTATAGCACCTCAGATATTCTTGATGAGACATGAGAACGGAATTAGAGCAAAGGGATGGGGAGAAGAAAGGAGGGAAAAAGAGAAACACACAGAGACAGACAATATCTCAAGTGCAGGCCTTAGGGTATAAACATGAAAGTCACAAGGAGTCCGTTGAAAGAAAAGGATGTCAACAAAGGCAGAAACGTTCCACATTTACCAAAGAAGAAATGATATCAACTTAGGATACAGTGAGGAAATGGTTACAGAACATAAAAGAACATCTGGAATATAAAATGATGGTCCAGAAAAGATGAAGCAGCAGCAGAAGAAGAAATGGGCAATTGTTACTCCAGTCAAACAGATATAAATGTATAAATGCTGGTAATGTATAAGGATATGGCAAGGGGAAAAAAAACCACTTGAAAAAGTAACACTCATAAAATCAGTTCAAGTATTGAAGAGGAATCATTGTGGTTCCAAGGCAAAATTAATGAAGAACACTTCATGATAATTTCTAAATTAGTTAGTTTAATAGCTACACATGACAGAAGAGCACTGGCATGCTAAACACGAAGAGATTCCATGCAAATTCTGAAGTATTTACTCACTCTCATTTAATAGCTGCTACAGAAGGCTTTCTAAATATACAAATGCAAGTGCCTTGGGCATTTTTATGCAATTTGGAATCATTAAAAATACAGAGTTGTTTCTTCTTTCCATGGATGGTACTTGTGGATGGAAATCATAGTGACCTCCACACTGACCAACTTATAAGTAACTATTTTTCAGCTGGTTTGGTTCTTACATTCATTAGCTTCATGTCTCGCAGGTTTGAGAGAAGCCCAGCAGAGAGGAAAGATAGACAGAAATAGCATTCAGAAGTGACAGTAACAGTGATAAGTGAATGAATATGTAAATTTTTCTTGTGGCAGATGGATTAGGCCAAATATAGCACAATACAGACTTTCTGTAAATGCTGAATCCTTTGATTCAGTTCCCAGGTTTTCTGCTAATGAAGGGTAGCATATGGCCAATTGAATTGAATATACTTTCTAAAAATTGTCCTCCTTACTGTTAGATGGAAGGAACATTCTATATTTGTTTGTGCTTCTTGACATGATTGTAATTTCTCAAATTTCACATATTACAGCAGGTATTCTAGTGCAACGTTTCTCAACCCTGGCAGCTTTAAGATGTATAGCCTTCAGCTCCTCATGATGGCTAGGGAATTCTGGAAGTTTAAGTCCACGCATCTTAAAGCTGCCAAAGTTAAGAAACACTGTCCTAGTACATCCATTTTTATGTCCTTTAAAAAATAGTGATTTTCCATTTTAATATTTATAGAGATTCTATGCATGTCCTGATCTTTCTCCTTATAAGCTGGTTTTATATGAACTGTGGAATTACAGCAAGAGTATGAAAAAGAATACAAGGCAGAATGAAAAAGATTTTGGATGAGAAAAAAATGCACATAAGAGAATGATTGTTGCTAGAAATAATAACAGATAGTGCATTATATATATATATAACAAGATAGTTGCAAAAAACTATTGCAAAGAACAATTAAAAGAGGTAGAGAAGATGTAAAACAATTTTGATAGAAATATAAAATTATTTGGAAGTAAGACTAGAAGTCCAAACAAGAATCTTTTACTAGAGCAAAGAGAATTGAAAACAAACATAAAGAAAAAATTTAGGATGAAATTGAAATGACACAATGCTTGAAGGAGTATGTTTTTTTAAAAAAATGCATGAGAATGATGACAATATGTTGAAGACCTGAAACAAGTTTTACAAATGTTAATGTCAAAAGAAAAAAAATGATGTCCTCGAAGTCATAAATGCTGTAATAATCTTGGAAAACAGTAAAGTTGCAAGCATAGATGGTATGTATAACTGTTAAAATATCAATGTGGTTTGCTTAAGAAGTGGTTGCACAACATATTTAATGTTTGATGCATGCATCTCTAGCTGACATTCAGAAGAACCGTCATTGTTCTGCTATACAAAAGGAAAGGTAGGAAGAACGAATGGAGAATGACAGGGAAATTAGTTTGCTAAATGTGCTTAGGAAGTTTTTGGCATAATTTTAATCAAAAGGATGAGAGAAGAGAATGATGAGAGAATGCAATGAGAAGACATTGACAAAACTTGAAAAAGGTAGCTTTAGCTAGGCAGGGGTTGTGTAGATTATTTTATGTTTGTCGATTTAGAGAAAGTATATGATAAAGTGAACAGGCCTGAATTATGGAACGTTTTTCTAAAAGTCAGTTGCCCAATGTAATTAGAATATTATATGATGTAAATAAAATATTATGAGAGTGAATCAATGCTTGGCAAATGATTCAGCACTGAGGAAAGAGTAGGGCAAGATGGGTAATGGCTACTGAATATGTTGATGTATGAAGTATACAGAATGTTTGTGATGTTATACTTATGATGTAGCAGATGAAAACATATGTATATTTGTAAAGCTATGCCTTGTTTTTGATTCAGAACCTGAATAATTTGCAGCAAAGAAAAGATTCTCAGATGCAACAAGAAGTAGAAATCTGAAAATGGATGAATCAAAATTTGAAATAGTTTTACACAATAATATTTCTTTAAAAGTAGGAATTAATTCAAGAAAAAAATCAGCTTGAAGAAACAAAGTTGAGCAAAAATGCTAAAGGGAATAAATTTTTAAGTTAATTATATGGGACTTTCCCTATGTCTTTGCTTGAGAAACCAGGGAGTACCACCAGAGATAGATAATGGAATGATTTGCAGGTATGAAGGTTAATCTCAATACAAGTGGCATATCCCTGACCAATAAGCAGTTACAGAGCACAAGAAGTAATGTCAGCAGGATATAGTGAGTATAGCTCTCTGTGGGAGAGCTTACTTTTTTTAAAATAAATGCCATAGACCTCTTCAAGTAGAGAAATGATAAAGATCATGATAGTTCTCAGTCAACAATCATGAAAAAAAAATACGGATCAGAATAGAAAATATCCATATACATGCCCAGCCCTAAAAAAATTAGATGTAAAGTGATATCCTAATTATAAGACCATAGTCCTAATAGAAAGATTCTGTTGGAAATTCTGCAGAAGAGTTCAAGGCCCTATATGGAGAGAGAAGTGTAATAGAACAAGCAGGTGTCAGAAATAATAAGGGAACATGAGAACTTATAGCTAATATTAGATGGTCGATTGAAATAGTAACAGAGTATTAAAACCAACTCTACTCCAGTTTGACTGAATACTTTAAAGCTTTTGATTGTGTTGATAATTCAAGATTTAGGAAGCTTTTCAAAGCAAAGGCATATCCTAGCTTTTGATTCTTCAGTTTTGAAATTTCTAGAATAATTGGAAAGCCACATTTCGTAATGTGAAAAGTTTTACCATCAGAAAAGTAGTCAAAGAGGGCTATATTATATCACCATACCTGTATACATACATTCTATCACCATCACATCTAAATACATAATATAAATTGCAAGGATGGAAAAGCTAAAGCTTGGAATTGGTAGAAAGAATGTAAATAAGAGATATGTGGACACTACATTGGCTGCAGAAACTAAAGGAGACCTAAGAACAAACATACTAGAAGTAAAACAGGAAGTTAAAGACAGGGCTTTCACTGAACATCAAGAAAACTAAAATTACATCAACAAGAACATTACATCAACAGTACACAATGACAGAAGTAGTTGTCAGTTATTATTATTTAAGCTCCACTATTGATGAAGAGGATGAATATGTAAAAAAGATTGAGAAAAGAATAACAATGGTCCAAAAAGCATTGAAGGGCCTAGACAAATTCTTGAAAGATGGAGACACTTCAATCAAAGAAAAATTAGGCTGGCCAATTGAATGATATTCCAGTTATAAAATACTGGAAGATACATGGATGGACTCTGCGCAAGAGCAAGAAGATTGGCTCCTTTCATATAGACTGCTGGAGAAAGCTGCTTCACATTCCTTGGGCAGCCGAGAGAGCCAATCTTTAGCACTAGAAGACATCAAGACAGAATGTTCACGGGAAGCAAGTATCATGAAACTAAAACTAGGAAACTTCAAGAGGACTGATGCATCTATGAAAAATATGATGTTACCATACTGGGTAAAGAGATAAAGGAAGAAGCAGCAGCTAAAAGACATAAAGTGAATATTTACTTTTTATTTGTGAAATTTATTTGCCGCCCATCTTGCTGAAGGACTAGCCTGGGCGGCTTACAACAATAAAAACAGAGAAATGAAGAGTAAACGTAATAGTATCAAAGTAATGAAACAATAAAGATAAACAATGGAATAAACAATGAAGGTATAGTAATATGAGATTAAAAATGGGTGGAGGAAAGCCAGGAGCACAGGAGAAGGTGGGGTTTGCCACCTCTAGTGTGTTACTTCTCTCCCCCATTGTGTCTCCAGGCCAGCTTGTAGAGCTAGACAAGATGGAGTGCTGGAAGCCCCAAAAATACACCTGCAAGAATTGCATAATGAGCTGAGAGACAGGGTATCTTGGAGCCCATTCATCCAGAATTACCAGGAATCAGTTACAATTCAATGGAGCATCACAACAAAAATATGGGATTTTAAAATATAGGACAGAAAACTAGAAAGAGGAAACTGTCTTCAATTAATGCTCCCCCTTTGAATCATGCCCATCTTTTATTGACTTTTAATTGTTACAATTTTAAAAACATTTCACTCAACTCACTTCAAGGAAAGAGCAAAAGACAGAAAACAAAAGAAAAAGTGAAGATGTACAGTTTTCATCACTGACTGCCAAATGTCTACATTTGTCTTTGTTCACTCACTTGGGGAGTCATTCGTTTTTATCATCCAGAAAGCGGTGGGTGGGTGGGAGAACGCTTATGAAATATTTGTAACAGTGAGACAGTGTCAATAATCCTGTTTTCAGATGCCGAATAAACATTTTAAAGACTCCTAAGCTAATAAGTTCGAAAACACACAATTAAAAATAATTAAGATAAATAAATCTCGCCTTCTTTCTCACTTGTATTGTTTGGCTCATTCTGAGGAGATGAAATGGCAACTCACTGAATAATTGATTAAATACAGTCTTGGTATTCCAAATTCCACAAATTTGGAAGGCAGTATAACAACAATTAAACCATTCTCAAACCCCAGCAAAATTGACGAGAGAGGGAGGGAGGGAGGGAGGGAAATGTTTTTCAATATAATACTTCATGCTTATCTGGAAAATTATATCTGTTGGCTCATAAAGCAGCTGAAGAAATTTTCACATTAAAATAGGATTCCTGAATACCAGTGATACTCTATTGCAATTATGTGGGCAGTACCATAGGTCTTTTAAAGATATATATTTAAAAAAGCATGCAAAACTTTCTTACCTTTCACAGCGTAAGCCAGCATACCCAGAGGGACATCCATCACAAATGAATCCATGAGTTTGGTCCAAATGACACGTGGGGCTAAAACTTTGTTGGTGGTGGAGAGCAAGAACCGGGTTAGGGAAAAACCATAGAAAGAAATTCATTAGCAGCATAACTACTATTGTTTTCTGAGAACGCTGCTTTCAAAATAGAGCAAGGGGAAGGTCTGTCTGGTCTCACACACAGAGCTTAGGGTTTGGCTCCAGCCAGTGGAGCTATTTCTGCCGACACTGGATATAGCTCAAACGGGTGGCAGCTCCAAAATGACATGTTGTTATGGGCCTTTGGTCTATCAATGAGACTCTACTCCATTTTAAAAACCAGGAATGTACAGCTGTTTGTCTGAGCCCCCAAGGGCCTGGCAACATTAGATTTCCAAGTGAAAGTTCACTGCAGCTGAAGGACAATTGATGGGAATGTTCAATAATCCTGGATTGCATAAACAGATAAACCACTCTCCTGCACTGAAGAGAAAAAGTTGAGAATCATGCTGCTTTTTAAATGACTTTATCTATCAGCATGTGATTGCATAGATCAACTGACTAAATAACTAGCATCTAACATCTTACTATAAGCTTGCCTCAAGGCAGTATCTACTTGTTGACTTTCTGTTGGCAGAAGATGTTCTTAGAATAGGAGAACATAGTTTCCTGATTGCAACCTTCTGAGCTATTTTGAATAGTTCTCTAAGTCTCTGGAACAGATTTCAGGGGAAGAATGAGGATGTGGGACTAGCCAAGCAATCACAGTCCTTCTCATTCTGCTAACAATGCTTTCCATACCAATTAGTTACGATCCATAAAGCAATTCTATTCCCAGTCAGGAGGGCATTTCTAATCCTTTCAACATATCGTCAGGTAAACCTAGAAATATTTCCTCAAAAATAAATCTTGCGGAATTCAAAGGGACTTGCCCCCAAGTAGCAGAAACTGATTGCAAAGTCCACTAATCATTCTTACCATATATCACAAATGGAGCTTTGTATTGATTTATTTGACATTTTTCCTCTCTTTTTGACAAATATTGTAGCAACTGCAAAGTTGCTTCTTTTGGGGAATCCAGACATTTACATATATATAATAAGTTCATTATCTCTGAAGACATTTTATCCTAGCTGTGTAGCTCTGCCTTCTAGTGTCTTTTCCCTCCATATTTCTTTTTCTCCCCTATCTGATTGACACACTGGAAGGAGGTAATCTGCTGGCATACTGGAAGATACAAGCAGTTTGAAACAACAGGGTACCTGTCACTCTATTTTAAAGAGATCAGTCTTCAATTATTCTTCCTTGTATTTCACTTTGAGATTTGTTTGCACTACATAGATGTTAAATTTTCCAAACAACTCAGCAGTAGGTTTGCAGCCTTAGGATAAAGCTTAGTTTAATGTGATTGTAGCAGTGCAATAAATATAAGCAAGTAATGGCAACAGTCTTTCTTCTACTAACAATTAACACCTGCAACATTATAAGACCTAAGTCAGATTTTTAACAAGTTTTATGAATTGACAGGTAACCATTATTAAAAGACACCATACAAGCTGTGGTTTTAATTATTGTGTTTTCTGCTGAAGTCTAAAGTTTCTGATTGGCAGCAGAAAACAAATGTGAATCTACTTAGGAAATTAAATTTATTAATTTATCATTAAATTTAATGGAACTTATTTTCCAGTAACCAAAGCCCAGATGGATTATATATAAAAGGGTGTTTTAAGTCAGAAGATATTTGTGTGGGCATATATGAATTAAGTTGGGCTGTTGTCACTGACAGAGGAGCAGAAAAAAGAAATCAGCTCTTCTTTTTGGTCATTGGGACAAATTGGTTATTATTCGCTTGCTTGCAAAGAATAAGCTCATGAGAGTTCCTGGACCAATTGTAGGATACTTAAAAACAAAAACGTGTGAAAAAAATCAAACCACTGAAAATGGTGATTTGAATCTAAATTTTGACATCATAATCCTTTGGACCCCAAAATGCCACATCACATATAAGTTCATTTGCCTGCCCCCTAGACAACAACTCTGGTTATCAAAAAAATTGTGAGAGATTCAGGGAAGGAGAAAGGAGAGAAAGGAGAAGCACAGCACAAAGATAGAGAGTAAAATGTAAAATCACTGAACCGGTAGTTACACCGGTCAGATCCCACCCCTGCCTACTGTTTATTGTCTGAAAATGGGAAGGTTTGCTTGTCCCTCTGTCAAATTCTTGAGCCTTCCAAGAGGAAATTATGGTTTCTTTCTGGACCATGTGCTTTTATTATAAAAGCATATTATAATAAAATATATAAAAGCTCTGTCATAAGAAGAGTCATCCAGCTAGTTATTAGCAAAGCAAGACTTTTTCCAGTCTACAAGATTCAAGAAATTAGCTATTCCTATTCCAATGTGAACTGTAGAGGTTTAACCCCAGTTCACCAAATGTTCTGCTGAGAACTATAGAAAATCTCTAGAGCTAAAGATCCTCCTACCAAACTGAACTTCTGGGATCATAATAGATCTATTACAGCAGTGTTTTCCTTTTCCCTTTTATCTGAACATTGTGAAAATGGTGGAATATAAAATAAAGCACTGTGCGAAAAGGTACTTGTAATGAAAAGGTACTTTGTGTTGATGTTTATTGCTCTACCCAGAACTGAGATAAAAGGACTGGTGAATTTTTGTTGTACATTGATGCTAATTTTTCTTCTTCTCATGGACTACTATAACTGATGAAGGAATACTTCAAGGAACAATTTGGTAGTATTTTTACTGACTGAATTTGCAGCTTACTTGTTTGAAGATATACTCAGTGGGCAGGCACACAGCTGGCAATCATCAGCTTTCCCTTTAGTAGCATCTCCATAGAAACCAGGAAGACATCTATCACAATATCGACCACCTGTGTTGTGTTTGCAGTTCTAAACAGATAGAGGAAGAAGACACAAAACATCCTTTTTCAGTGCACCATAGAGTACTAGGTTTTAAAAAGTAACCTAGCATGCTATGGAATCCCTTATGTCCCAAATTTATTCTGGGTTTCCATCAAATACTTCAAATGTTGTACTCAGTGCCTACCCCACCTTATAGCCTATTCCTAGCTTATTTCACATTCTTGTAGCAACATTATACACCATGATAATCTGAAAACCAATATATGACTCAAGATCACCTTGTAAGTTAGATGGCTGACTTCAATTTTATTGAGTTTCCCTAGCCTAATATTATAACCATCATCTTTCATACAGAAAATTGAAGTGGCATCTGTTAGATCCCTTCCTTCTCCCTGCCCTAGTAGTTAACTGTACATTTCATTGCCTTAATGAATTCTAATTCATGAACAACCTGGCTCACAATATATTTCAACAATTATGCTAATTGATAGCATGTATACAACATTCAATAGGGATTAGGTACCAGGGTATTGGGTTGTTTGTTTTTTTACTGACAGCCGCATTCCCCAGTAATATAGCACTTCCTAAACTCCTGTATCTCATAGCAGGACAGGTATTGATTCTGAAGACTTAACAGATACCAGAACGTTGATAACAGATAACAGAATAACAGAGTTGGAAGAGACCTGGGTGCTCTTCTAGTCCAACCCCCCTATTTAAGCACCTATTTAACCCCTTCTAGCATTTGAGACAAGTGACTATTCATTTTTATTTTATTTTATTTTGTCAAGCATGTATTAGATAACAGGTATAAGTATAAACATGATTATGAATATATGAAATGGATACAAATAAAAGGGAACATTAGGACAAAGATGGCTTATGCACGCCCCTTACAGACCTCTTAGGAATGGGCTGAGGTCAACAGTAGACAGTCCGAGGTTAAAGTTTTTGGGGTTTGGGGAAGAAACCACAGAGTCAGGTAGTGTATTCCAAACATTGACCACTCTGTTGCTGAAGTCGTATTTCCTGCAATTGAGTTTGGTGCAGTTTGCCTTGAGTTTTTATGTACTATGCTTGGGTCAGACCTAAGGCAGCATAGTTCTAAGTTGTCTAAGCCTAAAATTTCAAGTCATGTCCGATATGCAATGTGGGTTCCAGATACAAATGAGCTGTATTTGAGAACTGATCTAGCAAATTCAGTCTCTTCTTAAAAGTTAAAAGTTCTTAGAAATTCTAGCAAATTCAGCCTCTTCTTAAAAGTGTCCAGTGATGGACTACCCACAACTTCAGAAGGCAAGCCATTCCTGGTTAATTGTTCTCACTGTTAGGAAATTTATCCTTAGATTTACATCGCTCCTCTCCTTGATTAGTTTCTATCCATTGTTTTTTGTCTTGTCTTCTGCTGCTTTGGAAAATAGGTTGACCGTCTCTTCTTTGTAGTAGTCCCTAAAATAGTTTATATACTATTTTTATTTTGTACATTCACAATTCTGATAATCTGGTGCTTTGTTTTAGGATATGATATGATGTAGTTCACACAAAAATCTAGTCTCCCACATGTGAAACCTAGCTCAAAAAAAATGCCTTTCCTGATTTCAACCCTTTCTTCATTGTGGCCATGGCATATTCCATGATTACCGTGACTCTTAATTACTGGATTCCCCTGTCTTCTCATATCTCTAACCAGTGGTGGGATTCAATTTTTATTACTACCGTTTCTGTGGGCATGGCTTAGTGGGTTTGGCTTCGCTTGGTGGATGTGGCTTGATGGGCATGGCAGGGGAAGGATACTGTAAAATCTCAATTCCGAACTACTCAAATGTCTGTTATCGGTTCTCCAGAACTGGTCAGAACCTGCTGAATACCACCTCTGTCTCTAACCCATGGCAAGAAAACAAGTACAAAACTGCTTATTTTTCTTAGGCGTGCTTTTGAGGAAAAATACTATCATTGTTTTAAGGTCCTGTACATCAGGAGAATAAACCAGTATATTAAAAAAAAAATTGGATAAAAATTGACAAAAGATATATCTAACATGTCTCTGTTCCATGATTGAACTTAAGAAATATGAAAAAAGAAAATGACAGTTATATTGCTTCATTAGTCTATGTTCCAAAGGTCTGGACTGTAACTAAGGAGCCTCAAGTCCATATTTAACCATATGGCTCATTAGATGACCTACTCACCATCTCTCAGTTTACAATAAGAGGGTTGCTGTTGTGACAAGAAAAATGAAAGGTAACATAAAGCTGCAAGGAAAAGGTAGTTGATGTTTCAATTTCTGTTATAATGCTGTTATAGATCTAGATTGTAAAAATCCAGGCAACCATTAACTGGCTGACAAAGAAAATACTGCTATTGATTGCTTGATTATTTTCTATTTTCAGTTTAATTGAAATGACTCAATGTGGTATACATTTGATTAAAAACATCATCACAAGTAGTCCTTAACTTACAACCATTTATTCAGCAAATATTCGATGTAACAACAATACTGAAAACAGTGACATGACAGATCCTTACACTTATGGCATGATTGTATGCATCCCAACAGTCACATGATTGCTATTTAGGCGTAAATGCAACTGGCATGCATTGATTGCAATGCCCTGAGATAACATGATCACTTGTGATCTTCCCAGGTGGTTTATGGCAACCAAAGTCAGTAAGCTAGCAGAGAAGTTTCCAAATGACTGTCATGTGATTCCTAACTTAATGATTTCACCACTTAATTATGAATTTTCTGGCCACATATGTGAAATTCTCGTAAGTCAAAAATTATCAGTAAACTCAAAACAAGAAAGAGCAATGCTAATTACCACTAAGAATAATAAATAACATTATAAAACAAATACAAAACTCAAATCCTTTAACATTAAATTCATCAGTATTACATGACTTCCAATGAAGTTGGCATCTGTATGCAAATCCAATGTTAGTCAACTCATATGCTAGCTGTTACATTTACTGGTGGGAAAGAAAAGAAAAAGAAGAGCAAGAGCAAGAACAAGAACCAAAAACTGTTGAGAAAACTAGTAATATGTACAATCCTAGGAGATTAATTATTATTAATTATTAAGCCACCTGGAGGAGAAAAAGTTGGTGAGACTATAAATTAAGCAAAACAAGAGATAGGAAGAAAAGAATGTCAAGAAATGAGGGTCTGCATTTTTAGTTTTAAGACAGCCTGTGAGAGGAAGCAGATGACATTGAAGTTAGACCTTTTGTACACTTTTGGATAAGCAAGAATCTCCAAAATCAAAAATGAACAATGATGATTTCTTATGTTTAAAATGATGTCACTGAAAATAAAGGAAATCCAGAATTTTTTCTAGATGACATTTTAACACTAGTACTAGTACTAATACATAGTGTCAAACTCAAGGCCCAGGGGG